TGTGAAAAAAAATTACCATTATCTTTCCCTTTCCTTTTAGAATGATGTAAGGCTTATCATTAGGAATCGTCACTTTTTCTCTGAAACAAACAAAAATAGAAACATTTTATTTCACCCATTGAGATTCTAATTAAGGATTTATGACAATCAATTCAATTATTACATTATCATCATACCTTAGTTACACTACAAAAGAAACTTCTTTTACCAGCTAATAATGAAAAAAAATGATGATCATCCCTTAGTGTAGTTTTATTCGCTATATTAATTCTCTTATGCATATATCAAAACAATTTCAATTTTTGTTGGAAAAAATGTATACCAATATTCTCTTATGCAATGCTAATATCATATTTTATTTTTCATGGACAATATAAAAAAGAATTAGTTGGGATTAAGAGTGACACTATAGAAATTAGATGAAGGTAATATTATTATTTTTTTCTTGTCACATGTATTCATAGTTCATTATGCATTCATGATGGATAGTTAAGGAGGAGAATACATATTTTAGTTTTACCTGTAGGTACCTGCCATGATCTTGATGGAAACCCAATACTTATTGTTAGAAGGGACTGAATCAATGGCAGATTGTATGGTGGAGAAGTTTCCATGCCCTGATGGATCCACCACTATTGACCAGTAAGGGAGCTTTTTCTGTCCAACTTTTCTATAAATCTGAGCATTAGCTCTCAAACCCACCAAGAGAAAGAGACATGCAAAGCAGCACCAACGAAGAAACATCATGGATCAAAGAGAAAATCAACAACCAATTCTTGGAAAGCTGAGAAAATTATGATGATAAAAGAAGATCACTGCTCGTGTTAGACATATATAACAAAGGCACAACTTGTTAGCAATCAACTGAAATCTACAAATATAATCTCCGTATTTAAAGACCAAAACATTTTTGTGTTGTAAGAAAGTCAAAGGGGGAGACGGGTAACACAAGGTTATTCAATCATGACATCCTACTGAATTATAGTAAGTAATGAAAATTTTGAGAATTTTGGAAAGTTTTAATCTTATATTTAAAATAGATATTTTTTAGTTTACATACTTATTTTTAATTATTTTATTCCTTATAATTCAAGATAGATCTTTTAGTTTCTAAATTTATAGTTTTTTAACTATTTTAGTCTCTATCGTTTATTTCTTTGTTATGTTGTATCTTATTTGTTGATGTGACAAAAATATTTAATTTTATATTTCTGATGTTAAATTTATTTTGTTAAAGTTATCCTAAATTAAGTCCCTTGTCGCTTTGTGTCTTTTTTTACCCTCATATACAATGTTCATTGTAAAAGTCCAACACATCGATATGAGAGAGATCTAGAGATTTGTTCAAGGTGTGAAAATGTATAGCTGAAGATGAGTTAAAGGAAATGATTTGTATTATCTATACCAACTAGTAGCTTATCACTTAAAAATATCATAGTTAAGTATTTTTTACTTGAAGTAATTTGGAAATGAGTGACTTTCTGTGAAATTTTTCAAAAACTATATAAGTGAGAACAAAACACGCTAAAAAGTATTGGTTTGTGAAACAATCGTTAATCCTAAATGTGGTGGGATATCTTAAAATTGAGCAATTATATAAAGTATTCATGTGTCATGAAGTAAAACTGTTGAGACATCAATTCTAAAAGGTGTTACACACATTATTGAGATACTTATTTTTATACCCGAACAAAATTGAAAAATAACAACAGGAACTAAAGAATTAAAAAAAAGATAAATATAAAGACTAAAAAGATATATTTTAAATTAAATAAAATAAAAATTAATTAATAAAAATAAATATAGAGATTAAATATATTTATTTTAAACTATAATATAAGAATATATTTATTTCGATGTAATGAGATTTTACCCAAAATTGATGCACTTCCTATGTGGTTTCCCACTGTGTGATCACATTTTTATGTCAATGATATGTTACTCATCAGGCGAAATTAGGGCAGGCAAAAACCAACTAAAAGGTGATGTCCGAATGTGGGAGAATTTATGTCTTATTAGGTAGTATTCACATGTTTGACTCCAACTTGAGAGAACAAAATATTTTTTTTAATTGAGTAAAACATGGTCTAATTGGTATCATATCCCTCACAAAGATATCATTACCAAAAAAAATCCCACAAAGATATTTGTTCGAATCCCTCTCTCTATCTATGAGAGAACCTTGTTGCTAAGATTTCTGAATCAGAAAGGAAAAAAAAAAAAAAAAAAACTTTGAAATTGTGTTTTTAATTGGCAAGAATTGAAGGTAGTACCAGAGGGTTACAACTAGTCACACACGCTCCACAAGCAAGCAATTGAGCTAAACTCGTTGATAAACCTTTAAAATTAGAATGATGATTTGACTTCGAATTTAATTTAAAAAAAAAAGAATTTAAAGGTAAAATATCACCAAGAACTTGCATCTGGACCAGAAATGGTAACTGAATATTGACTTTAATTTCTCTGTATTTCTTTCTTTATGCTTTTTAATATAAAATAATAAAGACAAGAATGAATGTCAATGGATTGCGAACAAACTTTCTTATAAAAGATTGTTTTGGTCTTCTGTTCTCTATATTGTTTATTTATTTCCACATTCTAAATTTCTAACAAAAGATAAAAGAATTTGAAAGCAGTCTTTGGTTTCTGGAATTTTCAGTTTTATTTTATTTTTCTTTCTCATTGCAAGTACATACTAGAAACGCCTTATTTTGAAATAATAATAATTTAAAAAAAACAAAAAAAAACGTCTTATTTTATGATCCATGAGGTTAGGCTCATTGATTGAGGAAGTAGGTTAGAAATAGATAATAAAAACTTAAGTCTAATCATTATTATTCACTATTGTTATAATAATTTTTACCCATAAAAAAGTAACATTTTATTTTATCAGTTAACAGTACGGTGAAAACTTCTTAACCTAGCTAGTAATTAATAAACTTTTATATTAATTATCTTAAAGATTTTTCTCAGCTAGTAATAAACTTTTATTTTGTCAGTATGATCAAAACTTCTTATGCTATAATAATAAACTTTTTAGTTAATTATATCTTAAGGATCTTTTTCACTGATAAAAGAACATTTTATTTTGTCAGTTGACATTATGATTAAAACTTTCTTAATCTTGTAATTAACTTTTATATTAATTATTTTAAGGGCGTTTCGTATAGGAAAATTTTGAGTTTCTTAGGAAGTTCACATAGCAACCTAGTAATAAACTTTTATAGTAATTATCTTAAGGAGTACTGTTAGTATAAGAGAAATGTTAGTTTCTTTTGGAAGTTAAAAATATTTGTTCCTCGTGTTTGATTTATTGTTTTAAAAATATCATTCCCACAAACTTTAATTTCTAGGAATGAGTTTGATTAGCATAATTGTTTTCATGTCTAATAAATATCATAATTTTTGATAATCATGATACCCACAATAATTATAATTTATAGAAATAAAATTTATTTAATTGATCTTAAAAATATTTATTGGAAAAAATCTAAGTCTCACATCAACTAAAGATAAGACAATTAAATAGTATATAAGTGGAGAACAACCCTCATCTTATAAGTTCAATTTTGTAGGGTTGAGTTAGACTGAAATTCACTATTCTAAGATGGTATCAGAGTTATCCTAGATTCTTAAAAATAGGTCATCCACCATTGATACATGCACCATAGGCATGAGGGAGTATATTGAGAGAAAAAAACTCAAGTCCCGCGAATTCTAGATCATTAAAAAGGGGTCACCTATCATGCACCATAGGCATGGGAGGTGTATTGAGAAAAAAAAAATTCAAGTCCTGCTAATTCTAGATCATTAAAAAGGGATCACACCTATCGTTTATCCACGTACTAAGTCCAATAGTACTGAACATAAGGGAGTGTATTGAAAAAAAATTCAAGTCCCACATCGACTAGAGATAAAATAATTAAATAATATATATAAGTAGAGAACAACCTTAGGCTCAAATCCACTATTCTAATATTCTAAGTATATTCATATATGTTTATAAGAAATCAAGTATTTTAAAATATAATCTTAATGGAGCTTGATCAAAAGCTTTAATTATTTATCCCATTAATTGAGGAATTTAATAAAAGTTTATCGTGTCCTCTATGTTTTTACAAATTTTTTTACATGAAAATCTAACTTTTGTAAGATGAAAACAATTGTACGTAGTGAGTAAAAATATCATGTTATATTCATTAACTTATTTAAATAATAAATTAAACATGAGAAATTAATATTCTTCATTTTTTAAATAGTAATCTTACAAAGTTTTTCTCTTTTTTTTACACCAGCAAATAAAGTTCTTAGAAAACATTATGAGAATGTTATTTTTAAATATCAAATGAAACATGAAAAATTAATATTTTCAATTTGATATTTAAGAGAAACTAAAATATTCTCGTGTCTCCCTAGTTCCTCACAAAATTGAGGTGAAAATCTGACTTGTGCAGGTTGGAAAAAAAGTTGTAGTGAGTAAAAATATATGTTACATTTATTAGCTTGTTTAATATGATAATTAAAGTCTAGGTGACAGTTTTATTAAATTAAGCATTAAATTTATTATTTTTTTCATACCAAACAATTCATAAAAATTAAAAAGAAAACAAATACTAGATGATAATGCAAAAACTTTTTCCAATGAAGGATTTAAATGTATGTTAACTTAAGTAAAAATATTGCATTACAAGAAAATTGTCATATAATGACAAATACTTTAAAGTGACATAATATGTGTTACTAAAAATTATTTTGACTCACATAATAAATATAATATATGTTAGTATATTGTTAAAAAATGTAGGTATAAACTATACTAACACATAAAATATATTATTAAATTTTATTAAAAATCAACACTAAATATATTCTTATATGTAACTATATGTTAAATAGATATATTCTTATATATTATGTAGCATTTCTTTAGTGTTTTCATACTTAAAAATGGGAGAAACCATGAAGGAAAGGTCATGATAATAAGCTGAGATGGAGAATAGAGAGGGGAAGGGAAGAAGGAAAAAAATCACTAAATAGGATACACCATTAGATCCGGTGAAACTGTAAAATTCAATGGTCCAAATTAAAAATAAATATGGTTCATCATGAACCACATTTCATCCTAGACCACCTTAGAATTAGTCCCATACACTATACTACACATATAAAGCCAACCCAACAAAAACCTAAAAACTAAAAAAGAAAAGAAATGAAAAGAAATTATTATGTGAGAGTTTGAATTATTTAGTCAAAATAATTCAAAATTATGAAATTAGTTTTTAGTCATATTGATAGAAAGTATTTACTATCGAGAATAATGATCAATTTCTATAAATAAATAAATAAATTATTGAGAATTGTAAATATATATAAAATAAGTATTTCATTTTCAAAATAATATATTTCATATCCAAAATCAATATTTGAATCATAAATAATTTGATTAAGTGATTTAAACCGATTATTAGTGTTGGTCATGAAATTTTATTAGCTAGTATTTTTTCTTTTAAAGTAAATCAAAGTATTCCTTAGTTAAAAGACTAATGCTAAGATTCATTAAATGAGTAAACCTTTCTCAACAAATATTTGAAAGATATCTACTCCTTAAATGCTCTCAGCTGTTCGAAAGATTGGGTTTTAGCTTTCGGTTTATTTCAAAAGTAAAATTGTTTTGTTTTTTCAACTTGAGTTGACTTGTGAAAAAAAATTACCATTACTATTTTTTAAAATATGTTAGGACTACTCGAAAGTTATACAATTCGATAGTTAAACTCTCGAAGCTACTCGAAAGAAAGACAAACAAATCAGTTCTTATCGGGAAAGTATTATGAGCCTCATATGTGCATACTCAAGGACTGCTCGAATAGAACAAGAATTGCTCGGGAAAAGTAGTAGTAGAAGGAGGTTACTGGTGGTTTCACGAGCGGTTGAGTAGTTACACTCAGAAAGGTAAAACATGTGAGATGAACAGTTGCGAGAAGTTACATCTTAACCCAAGAAAAGTGATGTAGTGGATAGCGGTTATGCGCCCACGATGGAGTTACACAAAATAAACCGCTCTAGATTATGTCTATAAATAGAAGAAGCAACCTCATGTACAAAGGTCGGAAATTCTATACTTGCACTTTGTAAGCACTCTCTGCCTGCGCATATGGCTTCCGTGCACGCGATTGCTGGGTACTAATTTCTTGACCACATTTCTTTTCTTTTTCTAGAATTAGTGTTCTTTCTTTTAATTCTGTAGTTGTAGGTCTTTAATCGTAATATTGTAACTTGATCATTATGCAAAGTGGACTATGATTCGTATTGCTAATATATTCATTGTTAATTCCGTTCATTTGAATATTTATATGCATGAATATTATTATTTGGTAATTATTAATGAATATATGAAAACAAGTAATTATTAGTCTTTCTACTCCGTTTCTTATTCTTCATAAAATTCAAAAACTTCAAATACCTAAATTGAAACAGTTCTCGTACTAGTTCGAATAAAAAGAATCCATAAACTAATTCTACCACAAACAAAATATAAACTTCAATTTTCGTTATCCTAATACCCCGATAGTTTGATTCAAGAGGAGGAAACGATGTTCATGTAATTAGTTAAATTAGGCAGATTTTTGGATTCAAAATTTCATATATTGAACATTTGACTTGTGCACCATCTTCTTCCCTCGAACAGGTGCATTTGGACCAGAATGTTTCTAATGACTATCTCGATAAATTGTGCAATTAGAGAAGAAAAAAACAAACACAAATCCACCTAACAACACCATTGTTCGCGCAATTCGCACTAAAACATCACAAGGAAAAAGCCTGAATAAAACAAATTAATCAATTTGATTAAAACATAACGCCACGAAACACAATTGGAGTCGTTTTCTTATAAATATGATCAACATCATGACTTGGACCAACCTCACTTTTTCCTAGATTTTCGTACTAGTTGGTCTGAATAAAACAATTTTATACGCATTAAATTACAAGAATAATATAAGAACTTTTCAATATAAAAATCAAATTATTAGTTATAAATACAGATTTCGTTATAACATTCCCAACGCAATTAATTTCCATCAAATCACATATTATCATTATACATAACTAAAAGTTATGATAAATTATATATAAAAATAATTATATTTAAATATATAAATTATATCCAAAATTTGCATAAATATATTATTTTAAAATTATTAAAATTTAATTCATAAATAATTATAATAAATAAAAAATCAAATTAAATAAGAACTAAATTCTCTATTAAAAAAAAGTTCCCAAAATATACTCTAATATAAAATAAAAGTTCATGTTTAATATATATATATATTGATTTAAATCTTTTAACCAAATACTTATTTTTTAAAATAACCACCATCCATCTCACTTTTCGTGAAATTTACATGTTTCTAATTTCGTAACCAATAGCATGACTCAAATTAGAATGAAGTCAGAGAATCTTGGATGTCATAGAATGTGTTACGATTTTAGTATTTATAAGCCTAATTTGATCGCCATTTTCTTAAAGTTCTAAGTAATGTTTACAAACAAGATTACGAGGCCATCAATTATAATGGTGATAACTAACATCCATTAACGCGAATTTGAAAATTTTTCGAGAACAAAAACACCATTAACCCTATATAAAATTATTTGAACTTCATAAATGATTAACCTCACATCCTTGTACATGATCAAATCAGTTATAGATGAAATTAATGATTTGGTTAATAAACTATATGCAAACAAATGATTACTTCAACTTCATAAAGTGGAGGGGTGATTCTAACTCACCAAAAGATGTGCTACACTACACATAGCACACATTTTTAGCATAGTGACCAAATCTATTACAAAACACCTTTACATAAAAAGCTATTGCTGTAAGAACCTTCTAATGGGGGAAGTAATAACAAGATGGGAGAAAAACATTGAATTTACATAATTTCACTCATCCCCTACCCAGAATCTCTGTACACAATTGTGTGGTGTAGCGTGGTATACATTTACTCTAATAATGCCAAACTTCAGCCGGTTAGTAAAATGAAACATCCCTCATCAAAGAACTCAGCTCAAATATGTTGGAAAACCAAGTGTAACTCTATATGCATGAAAGCATAAGTAACAAGTTACATGTGACTTGTGAAAGTGCTAGAGTAGTGATCAAAGTAAAATGTTGTCTCCAATCTCTAGTATGTTGCCATGTAAGAAGCACATTGTTAAGAGTCTGAGATGGACTTGGATTTGAAAAACTTTGCAACTTCCTGATACAGATTTTCTTCCTCGAATGGCTTTGAGACATATCCATCCATGCCACATTTCACGCATTCATCGTATGTAGCATGGATCACATCAGCTGTCATGGCCAATATAGGCACATGCCACTCACTCCCATTATTCATCTCCTCATTTGCCTTGCTCTCCATCATTCGAATTCGGCTGGTTGCTTCAAATCTGCAAAATGTGTAACATTTACTTTGATGGTTTCCCAAATTCTTAGTATTGAGGATTATTAACATGTTTGTACAATCCAAGATATAAAGAAAATTGAGATTACATTAATATAAATGTAACAAACTCTTATATACGATAATCTTACTAATGTAATTAAACTGAAATGCTTTTGAAGACATTGCTTGCCACCATGGAGTATAAAAATGGATTTGGTCAAAGTAATCATTGATCAAATCTATGAATACATATGGGTTAAAAATATGAAAGTCCATACATACAAACTTTCACACCTTGCTAGCTTGGTTTATGACATGTTTTATGGTGGAACTTGGAAGAGAAGAACCATATAAAATATTGTCAAATCAACATCTTAATTAGCAAACCCACCTTTTCCCTCTACCCTACCATTTTTTTTTTCATGTAAGTTGATTTTGAGGCATCATAATTCTTTAAAACCAAGAAATAAAGAACCCAAAGCTGGGGCGTTGTACAAAAATATACTCCTTGTGGTGCAATCCTTATTATGAGACACTTTTAACCGAATCACATATACCAATATGATAGTTATATTAGTTGATTTCATTGTGTTTATAAAACAAAATCATGATATACCAAATTTACCTGATTAAAATTTTGTAAGAGAGGTCAAGATATTACTCCATATTAAAACTTATGCACCAATATCAATAAAATTGATAAAATGATAATGGGAGTTTAAGAGGTGAAAGAAATAATATTTATTTATCAAATTCTCTTCTAATTATCCAACAACAAGAAACACATTTTCACAATATTTAATAAGAACAAAAGATGAAAAATAAAATCAATGTTTTATAGAAATTGTAAAGTGTCTTATAAAAAGGACTATTATTTACTTCTAAATTGTACCTAATTATAAGGACCAGAGAGAGTAATTTATCAGTTTATTTTAATATAAGACGAATGTTAGTGATACTCTTTAAGACTAAAATTTATTGAAAATCAAAGATTGTGAGTTTCACATTAATGAGCCTCTCTCTTAATTTATTGATAGGACCCACGAAAATTTCTGATTTTCAACCAATAACAAAATGAATATTTAGAAGAAAATGTTAAAAGAGTATCACTAACATTTCTCTTAATACAATAGTTGATTATAGCCCCAGTTCTAAGTTATATGCAATGCTTCTTAACAAATTATAGTGGATTAGACTTGGTAGAGGCTATTTCCTAGGCTAGTACTTATTGAGTTTCCTAGGCAATAGTAGCCACAAACATTTAATTCATTTTATCATTTGATGCACGATTCTACAATTTCCTAAGGACATTAAGTACACATATTTCCTACATAAAATAAACCAGGGAAAATGCAATAATAGTCAATATAAATATGCATACCCGTCCATTTCTGGCATTTGAATGTCCATGAAGCAAGCATCAAAATTGTGAGGTAATTGAAGCATTTCAAGTGCAGCTTTGCCACTTTCAGCACATTTCACATCAGCTCCAAACTTTTTAAGTGCCCCTGCTGCAACCCTTCGGTTTACCCCATTGTCATCAACCACCAAGATTTTCTTTCCATATAGAAGGCTATGTAGAAAGGAAGAACCATTAGGCATGTCTTTTCCTAGCTTCCTCTTCTTCCCCATCCCCAAAATTTGCTGAAGACAAGCAGCCACCATACTAGCTCTCAGAGGCTTCATGATCACCGTATCAGTGAAACCGGCGGCCTTAGCTTTATCAAATTCAGTATTACTAATATTGGTTGCCAGAAGGATCATTTTAGGCATCTCAAACATATGATCATTCTTTTTCCAGTCTGGTTTCCACATATCGAAAATCCCATCCTCTCTAGAAATCCATGCGTCCTTCTCAATCATGATAATATCAGGCTGGAACATTCTGCATCAACCAAGTAGCTACACTCAGTGAATGAACTGAAGTGCCAAGAAACTTGAACAAAAAAGATTTTTTAATGGCATCTCTGATCAAAATGTTATTCATTTTTTAAGAAAACAAATTGCTTAACATTCAATGTCTGAACTCTGAATAGACAAATGAAACATAGTATCTTTCTTTTTTCTTTTTCTTCCTCCCCATTCCCTCCCCCCATGGAAAAAGATAAAGTCAAAGGGGATTATTTTAATATTTCTCAAAAGAATAACACAACCCATTATAAAATGTCAAATAAACCCATAAAAAGGAAAAAAACCATAATAATAACTAAAATGTCAAAATCAACATTAAGCTTGTTTTGTAACCACACATTATAAAATGTCAAAAAATATTATATTTCATTTTGAAATCAATCAGCATTAAGTTATATAATAGATATATAAGTTGCACTCCTAGAATTAAGGCAAGTGATGTTGGAACTTTCAACCACTCCCTCCACAAATGCCTGTCAAAACAGACGAGCTACCAGAATAGGCAATTTACTAAGATGGACAATAGGCTCTGATATCATGTTAGATTTCATCTTAAAATCAATTTAACATTAAGTGAAGTTGTACAAAAATATAAGTTGCACCCCAAGAATTGAGACATGTCACATGGAACCTTCCAAAAATAAATTGATTTCAATTGAAGATAATTCTGGAAACATAACCAAAAACAATTGAAAACCTACCAGGCAGAAAAATAGCCATGTGGAAACCTAGTAAATGAGTGAGACACGAGTCAAGTGACTATACCATTATGCCTTTTTATATATAAAGCACAAACCCTAAAATCTGGTAGTGGGCCATAGTGGGTGTATACACCCTCATAAAACTGCAGAATATGTTACAACAACATCAAAATCTTGATACCGCTGGTTTATTATCACTTTCAGTTTCTTCATAATCAACACAAATATTCTGTCCAGAAAAGAAAAATATAAACAGGGAAAGATAAAACTTACCCTGATGTCAAAGAACCACTTTTACCACATAAAGCAACAGCCTTGCTGATGCTATTTGCAACTTTAACTAGTATCCCCAGTCTCTTCAAATGGTATCTAGTCACAGCAGCTCTAACAGGTTTTCCATCAACCACAATGGCTTTCAGCCCTCTAAAACTTGAAGGAAGATCTTCCAAATTATTCTTCAAGTCACTAACTGTACTTTTCTTAAATGTTCCACAAACTGCAGTGAAGGAAAAAGTGCTCCCTACCTGGGGTCGACTTATGAAATTTATTTGACCCCCCATTAGTTCAACTAGGCATTTACTGATACTCAAGCCGATACCAGTACCCCCATAATTTCGTGAAGTTGAGCTGTCAGCCTGCACAAAAGGCATGAATATCGTGTCCTGTGCTGAGAAAGGAATTCCAATTCCAGTGTCCTCCACACATACCCTTAACGTGACTTGCTCGGATGATTCACAACCATCTGCTGTTTCTCCTGATGAATCGAAGCAAAATTCTTCAACAGCAATTAGATGCTTAAAATTATCCCAGCAGTTCCGTTCATCAGCTGCTTCACATCCACTTAAGGTTTTGAAATGATAATCACCACATATATGGAATACTTCATCTGATTCTCCATTTATAAAAGTCTCATGTTTTCCATTCATTATGGACTTTCTATTTTCCGCCAGATGGACTTTAACAAATATATGTCCTTGTTCAGTAAACTGCTAGATGTGCAAATTAATTAGTAATGCTATCAACAAGAAACTTGTGAATAAATTTAATGAATACAGTGGAAAAAATGATTATGAAGGACTTGAGCATCAATATCATTGCTCTCTTCCACAGCTGCTCACTGGGGTGAAGAATAAAAGAAAGAAAATCTTAAAGTGAAGATAAGATTGAAATAGTTAGAATGGCATTTCCAAATGCAAATATGAACAGACTGATGAACAAACTTGGAAAAATCCACTTACTTTAACAGAGTTGCCAACAAGATTTGTTATTATTTGTCTGAATCTCCCCGGATCTCCCATGACAATATCTGGAACTTTATCACAAACGAACACGGCCAGCTTTACTTCCACAATCAAGAATATAAGTTCAGGTTGAGAATCAACACGAGCACAGGAACATGAGCAACATCCAGCATCATAAGACCCAGAAAGGAGAAACAGAGACGAGACAACAACATAAGTTCATCAATTAAGAAATATAAATAGAATGGTGAAATTATAAAACTTGGACAAAGCAAAGCAATCCTATGGCATTTGTAATAGGTCAAGGTTAATCAACAATTAATCATACCTCTAAACCTTTGTGCCTAGATTTCTCAGAAAAAAGAGAAAGGACATCATCAAGTATGGAACGAAGATCAAATGGAACAGCCTCCAGCTCTAACTTGCCAGCTTCAATTTTAGCTCGGTCCAGCACCTCATTTATTAATGTTATTAGTGCCTTTCCACATGCTTGAGCAGTCTGAGCATAATCTCGTTGGGTTGAACTCAATTCTGTATCTAGAAGCAGAGCAAGCATTCCTACAGTAATTTGGAGTTAAATTATATCATCATCAATAGAAAATTGCAAGTTATGAACACATATGTCACATTTTTGTTAATAATAGAGAGGTAGAATTTGGAAGTTACCTAAAATACCATTCATGGGTGTTCTAATTTCATGAGAGACTGTAGCTAGAAACTGATATTAAATACAAAATTGAGGTTATTGAAATTAGTAAGTAATCCCTGAAAATAATGAACCATGCTATCGATATGCCAGGAAAATTACCTGGGACTTGGCAACATCAGCTGCTTCTGCTCGGACTTTTAATTCCTGCATTTCATGAAAATCATCTTCGACTTTGACAATATGATTTCCAGCCCCATATAAAATGTAACCCACTAATAGAAGAATCACAAAGAAAAGGAATGCTGTGGTAAGAGCTATCCAATTTGCTGGTGCCTTCTGATGATACCTATTCAAAATTTGATGATAACTATCTGTTGACAAGTGAAAACATTAACACTCCTTACAGAAAAAGTATGGTAGCCAGATGCACCTACCTACATATCATCTGATGTTTCCTGTATGGATCTCCAAAATCAAGCTTGCTTTCATGGGCAAGAGACATATCGCTGCCTTCTTCATATTGGTTGCCATACATGATTAGGGGATTAGTGTAGTTTGTGATATCATATACGTTCACCAAAATTGCTTGGTTACCAGCAAGTTGCCCAAGTAAATTCTCTACAAGGGACTCAACATCAAAGGACCCTCCAACATATCTGATGCCAATTAGAAATTTATTCAATACATTAGAACACTATGAAGCATACCCTAACCATAAAGCCACAAGATTGAACCAAGGCTAGCAGGCTTATCCATAGAGTTTTAGTAAGCAACAACGGAACAGAAAGTTCAAACTATATTTTAGACAGAACAGGAATATAAACCAAAATCATCCTGACTGTGACATACAACATTTAATTAAATAATTTAGGCCCATGAAAATACAAATACCAAAGGAATAATTTTAAAGAAGCGAAATTATTGGTAAAATAGGAACAACAAACATTCAATTGGTTAAGTATGCTAAATAAATGGTTAATGAATAACCATTAACCAGTTAACTGGTTTTGCCAATTACATAGGCAACAGTTATCCTCAAACTCATTGATAGTGGTCAGGAGAAATGGAAATGGCACCCAAGGCCAAGGTTGTATCGATGGAAATAAAACTGGTAGCACAAAGTGGCAGGGATTGTAATACCATTCATGCCTTGGGTTTTAATGGAAATAGAGGCAGGAGCAGTTGTCAAAGCTTCTGATAATTTGTAGAAAAAATGTGATAATATTTGACAATCACATATTTGTGGTGAAGAAATTACTCCCTCTATTTATTTATGGTTCTCATAGTTCAAGACAATATTATTTATGTTATTGTCAATTATACTCTTTATTCCTACCTAACTTTTAATTAAATTAAACATTGGCAACTAATATACATTTATTATGGGGTAAAAATGAAGCATATAGTAGGAAACATGTAAACTATTTTATGAAAAAAAGAAAATCTATTGAATTTAATGGTTTGTGTACAAAAACCTTAAATGACTATTAAAAAGAAATGAAGATAGTATTGTGTATAGACAATTGACACCAGTGTTGTCATCATTATTTAGGGTATGCAAATAACACGCATGCAAAACAACTAAAACTATTACTATAATACCATATGACACAAACTAGGACCCACCCTGCAGTTGCTTCAATGCGTTCTTCCACTGTTGGCTCCTGAGGGAGCTTAGACTTGTACACAGGGAATGTTAAAACAACACCAAGATGGTGAGAACCCAACAGCCTGAAAGGGCTAGTCAGAACCGCTTTTCCAGTGGCTCTAGCCCTAAAAATGTTTTCCCTGTCCTCCTGAACATGCAAAAATAAAAGTTGAAGTGGAAATTATACAAAACATAAGTAGAGCACTATTCATCAGTTTTGTGATCTACCTCCCCAGACATCATATCAATAGACTCAAGATATGAGACAGTTTCTTGTGCAAATATAACGGGCGCATACTCGTCTCTAACCAGTGAAGATTCCCTTTTCATTGTCTTTATAACCCATCCATGTTCTTTCTCAAATCTCTCCCTCTCAGAGTTAACAACTCTTTGTGCATAGGCCACACCACTCAGTAATGGCCGTTCAAAAGCTGTCCGGGCTGTATACTCAGCAAAGGTTTCCTATTTTATTATGAACAATGACCAATAGTCAAGATACATGCAAATGGAAGGATAAATTTACACAATTTGAACATTAAGTAAAAGTGTGAAACTCCCAAATAGCCTTTCATTTCTTTTAAGTCATTATATAAAGTAATGTTACATGTACTACATCAATTTTGTGTCTTTATCAATTTTGTTGTACATATTGAGATAGACACAAAAGTGATGTTATACACTAATATGCTTAGCTTGTTTGAAATCAGAATTGGAGTGGAACATGAAGCACTAACCTGGTCAATGGCAGAAGGGTATCTGTAGTAATGAAAGGTTGAAACAAGGATGGCAAGGGCATGGACATGATTGACACTCACACTAAACTGATCTTGCAACATTCTTGCCCTTTGATCACAGAGACTACCCAACACCTCTTTCCTTCTGACTTTAGTGTCATCATCCATTTTGCTATAGATACACCAACTGATCAAAGCCATTAGCAGGATCCACAGCAGCAAAAACTTTGGAAGACAAGCTCTATGAGCCTGAATAAAAGTGTACTTTCTTTTAGACCCCATTTGATCATGCAACCTCAAAGCCACAGGATGGTGGCTCTGCATCTTCAAACTAAGACCCATCAGCAAGAAATTCACACTGCTCCCCTTCTGCCCCCCTTCATATCTATATTTAGAGAGGCTCCAACAAGAGAAATTTATAGTTAGTGTTCACAAATGAGGGTTAACTTTCTTTAAAGTTATGACGAAACTGCAGACACTTTTCTCTGGTGCTGGAAAAGAAAAAGGGTCATAGAACAAAACTCTAAGCAAAAGCATCACTACAGCATTGTTTTGCGTGACTAAAAACCTCAGAAAGGGCAGGCACAAACACACCAAGCATACTGAAGAAATGGTCAATTCCCTCTCTTTCTCTCTCCTAACAAGCAAAACTCGCTTGAAAATACACCAAGAAAAAAAAAAGAAATCAATAGAGAGAGAGAGACATGAAACCCAGAATTAAAAGAAGAAAACTTTCCAAGCTCAGACACAAGCATGGGTCTCAAAAGATGGAAAAACAGCTCAAATTCCCAAGAGCCACCCCCCCCCCCTACACCCCAATACTTGGCCTTGTTTCACACTTTTTAGTGTTGAAGATCACATTAAAAAAACAAGAGAACTCTAACCAATAATCATGCTATGTAGGCGTGAAACTAGTTCACACTCCCTCTTACATATAATATTCCATTATTCTAAACCAAGGACACTGACCCCAAAACACAAGCACACACAACCCAATAAAAGAGAGAGAGAGACATGGTAGTAATGAGGTTTTGTTGAATGAAAGAAATAATGTTAATGTTTACCTGTAACAGGAAAGAAAGGGTGGCTGTACAATGATCCATAGGAACCAAGTTTTGTTTGGTCCAAATCTGTCTCTCACTCTACACACTGCTGCTTTTATTTTATGCCCTTTTTATGCTACTTTTCTCTGTTGTCACTTTTTTATTTATATTAACAGATAAGAAAAAAAAATCGAATTTTTAGGATTTCCTTGATACGGTCTTGTCTCCCATGAGCTTCACAATAACAAAAAAATAATTAAATAATACATTAGTCTATTACTCTATAGTCTATACATTACTAGTACTAGCTCTCCTTTCTCTGTCTCTTGCAACCTTCATTTTCTTTTTTTCTCTCTCTCTCTTTCTGTTTATGGCACAAACACTAATGCATTTCACACTAACAGTGTCTCCCCCTCCTCAGTTCTCATTGCTGAGGTGAGAAACTAAGAATAGAAACACCGTGTTCCAAGGATGGTGTAAAAAGCTTAGAAAAAAGCAACCTTTGTTGACCAATGAGTGATGGGATAAACTGAACCAAACACTTTTTTTCTCTTCTATTCCATACTACTCTCTACTGTGCAGTTTTTTCTGTGTGGTCCATTAGTGGCTTTCTGATTCTTAACATGAATCATTTTTCTTAGCTGGGTCTCTCTTACTTTCTTCTATGCTTTTAATTACCTTTTTGTATGTCCAAATTTGAGGATTAGAATTTAGATAGAACACACGAGAGAGAGAGAGAGAAATAAAAATAAAATAAAAAAAAAAAAAACTGGGAATGGCTATCACAAATCTGTGTGATAATGACATGGCGACCAGGCACAGATTTTATTCCCGTGTGGATTACCACAAAAGCCCATCATTGTTTTTTTGATTCCGTAAATGCCCTTGGGAGATAATAACGAATTATCTGCTATCAACGTTGATTTATCGGTTAAACAATTCATAGTTGGCAAGTCTTTGCATCCATAGTGACTTTCAATTAAATTAATCTTACTCTGGCTGATGGTAACAGCTGTATATAGTTGAAATTCATGATTTATTATATGGAATAAATTTATCAACACTTATATTTAAAGTATGTGAATCACTCATCTTTATATATATAATATTAAATTATATTTTTTATTTTTAAATTTATATCAATTTGGCACTTTCAAAACTTATTATTTTATTTTTACATTCTAAGATAGTTTTAAATTATTTTTTATTAATTCAAGACATGTTCAAACTAAACAAAATAATAAACATGATAAAAATTATGTTAAATAAGTTTATCGATCAACTAAAATATTTAAAATATTTACTATCATATTATTTTTTTTCTTTGCTTTATCTCTTTGATAGTCAGTATTAGTATATCACACAAATTGTGAAAGAAAAGCCACACTCTTTC